CAAAGAACAGAATAAATTATAAGTATCCACGGAGGCTAGTAAGAAACTAAGATCAGAGAGCTCCACCCCAGCAGATACCAGGGATCATGCTCGCTTCATGGGGCAGCCACTCTATTCCACTTTTTGCTTCTTTCCTTTGTTCCCCTTCCTCCTCTGCTCCCGATGTGGTCATCTTCCCAGAAGATAATGCCTGTGTGGCTCTGTCCTGACAAGCCTTTTGGCCCTATCTCTAATCTTCTCCAGGTTTAGGATTAGTAGACATTTTCCTCATTTGGCATCAGTAAGTACAGAGTGGGAGAGAGTCAGCATAATTTAAAAAAAGGACTGATAAGAATCTGGCATTCTGATTGCCAGTGGTACCATTAAGCCAAGAGGTGACAAGGAGAATGAGGGGCTGGAACTGAGACAGCGTCTTGTCTGCTGAGGTGGGACCAGGGGTGTGGCTGTGTGTGGGACAGCGTGGTGGGGTGAGGTCACAGGCTTGTGGGAAGGCCTTGGAGCCCTCAGCCACAGACCAGGGCAGTTCCAGCCTGAATCTTCTCCCAGGAAGGCTCTGCATCCTGGGCTGCCTATCCTGATAGCCTCCTCATGTATGGACAGACTCCTATGGCCCCAGACAATCTTCAGCCAGGCCACTCTCTAGTGGCTGGTGCCCTCAGAACAGAAACTTGTTCCCAGTCTGCCTCCTTTCAGACCTCCAGGTTCCCTGGAGAGTTTGGCTGTTTAGCTGGGTTTGCCCACCTGGTGTTCCCAAACCCCAGCCCTCTCTCAGTATTTCACCAAGCCGCCTGGAAATTGCACATGTCCCCTTGATGAGGCTGCATGGGGGAAAACAAAAATAGCACCTCGCTGCTTTTAGCAAGAATTCTATACACTCCATGTGGCTAACACTGGTTGCCGCATGCCGATCTGCAGCTCTGACTGGCCTTTGATTAATAAAAAATGCGAGAGGAAATCAATTATTTATTTAATAAGAGCAGTTTGTTTTAAAGGCAAAACCTTTAAGAAGGTAGAGGACTCGGGTGCGGGTGGGCGGGGTGAGGGCAAGTGTCTTTGGAAGAGGAGTTTGGGAAAGGAGGACGCCCACCACGCAGGCGGTGTACAGAGGGGCTGTTCCACCATGGCTTTTGGGATGTGGGATACAGCTGTGAGAGAGGAGAGTCAGACCCCAGCACCCTGAATTCTGGATGCGGCTAAGGACCTTGGGGCAGGGTAGCGGGAGGGAGGGCAGAGCAGGGAGTGAGGAAAGCTCTCCCCTTGTCCCTTCCCAGGAAATCTCCAGCCAAGGCCTTAGCCTGCAGTCCCTGGCCACTGCTTCAGCCTCAGCCTGGCTCCCCTTCCACTGTACTCACTGAAGGGCCTGTGCTGGCCTGGCCAGTCCCTGTGCTGTTTCCCAGCACCTCTCCACTGTTACTCAAACTGCTTTCTCCTTGGGTAGGGCACTTCCGCTGATCTGTGGATTTCACACTCATGTCCATTCATCAAGGCCAGCAGTTCCCCAAGTCATCCCCTCAGAAGACAGCTTTTCTTCTTCTGAGCATCCCCAGCCCTTGGAATGCGCCTTCCTGTGGCAGTGTCGCAATGTGGCTTTGTTCTTTATTTCTTTGTAGGTATTTTGAGGCAGGGACTGCCTCACGGGCACCTCTGTAACCCCAGCCCAGGGTTTGTGCAGTGATGCATGGAGGGATGCATGCTATCTTTTGGGGAGACCGCACCCATTTACATTTGAAATGGCTCTCGGATTAAAAAGCAGACCTGTAAGGAACCCCTAGTAGCCCGTTTGAAAGAAAAAGAGCGAATATCTGCCACCTGAGACAGATGGATTAGAGGGCACGTGTCAGAAATTTCACTTTTTATTTTCTAGAAGATAAGGCAGGAAATTTTTTAAAAAGTCAGATGACATGGCTAATTTTCAGACAAAAATGAACCCAGCTTGTTGTCCATACAAATACATACATTTATATATATTCAAACTTAGCAACTATGTTTAAACTCAGTTTTCCCATCTATCAATTGGGATCATAATTCCTTCTCCATTACAATTGTAAGGCAGTGATGTGTGTGGTGTAAGAGAAAAGAGAAGAGAGAACTTTGGAAAGGAGGAAGTACTGTGCACATGAGGTGTGCATTAGCTGCCTAGGTAATTAGCAAAGGTCTAAAGTTATTGGCTTAGTTCTGGCTTTGGAAAAGGGTATCGCACAACTGTTCAGACACCAAAGTCTTTTTTCCCATCTCCTTAATCCGGATATCTCTCATGGGAGTATAATTTCCCAGAATTATCTGGGTTGTGGCCATTACTATCTTCTGAGCTTACTGGTGTGGGTGCCACTTCTGGAATGGAGCTTTCCAGCGAGCTAGCTTGGCTGGGCCTGATACCATGCCCATGCACTTGCACAGGTATGGCTGCAGGTGCACTGTGGAACTACACACTGGATCATGCACATGTCTCTTTCCCATCATTGGAGTGCTTGGAGTTTTCCAAAATGTCTGCCTTTAGACATTGTCCCATGAGCTTGTTCTCAATTCCCTGGGTGTGAGTTGGGAGCCCCAGACAGGAGAGCAGATTTGCTGAGCCACATGAAGTCTGTTGGACATTCTTCTATATCCAGCAGGCAGATGGGAAGTTTGGGGATGGAGGGTTTCTATCATGGAGTCAATGTCCCTGTCCCCTAGACAGCCTGGCCAATGGCCCATACAGCAGCCAGCAGGAGGGGGGGTACCTGAGTGGGGACTTTCTGAGTGAGAGAATAAATCAGCAGTAACGAAGGGGTTGGCTTAAAGAAACGTGTGGGACCCCCGAGCTTATAAACCAGATGAATTAAAGGGGAACTATTCACATGGCAGAAGGATTCTTTCAGTTCTAAAAGGATTCCTTATAATGCTCTTCTGATGAGCAAACACAGCACATTTCAAATAGGATTCATTGTAAAAAAAAAAGATGACAGGAAAGAAGATAATAACAATCTGCGTTCACTATTTCGGGAGCCGCTCCGGTGAGAAACGAGGCCCACCTGTATCTTGTCACAGTGCCCGCAAGTCCCTCTCCTGGAGAGAGCCGGGAGCTGCAAAGACAGGGAGAAGGAGGAGGGAGATGAAGGCATCCACAAGAGCATATCTGCTCTCCTCTGGCTTAGAAGGAAGCCTTGTCTCTCCATGTGTGTGTGTGTGTGTGGGGAGGGAGGGTCCTGAAGTGGGACGCTTGGTTCTGGTGCTTGTGAGGTCCTGGCTCTGTTGGGTGTAGGCTGGAGGTATGGATTCCAAAGCCCAGACGCTCGCTATGAAGACAGAGCTGCTGACCCTGACTGCTGGACCCGAAGGATTCCCCATCTCTCATTTGTTACTGACGGGCTCCCAGGATTGCAATATTTGCCTTATGGCATCAGCGCAACGTTTCCCGTATTCACATAGTTAAATTAGTTAGCTGGATAGAAACCTCAGAGATGATGTATCTAGTTGTCAGTCGTGACTTGGTGCTAATGGCACTACAATTTGGTTACAGTCCTTCCCGTCATTAATCATCGGCCCCCAGCCGGCTGCATACTGGGGTGCAGGGGACAAGGGAGGGCGGGGCCAGCTCTGGCAGAAGGTGCCCAGCACCCAGGCTGGGGCTCTTCCTCTTTCTCTGGGCAGTGATCAGGCTCACTCACTGGGCAGGCTGCTGTCCCTCAGTCCCCATCACCGCCGATGCCACCAGCTCTGTGCACCTCTATTTATTAGCACCATGCTACTTATGCTAATAGCAGGCCGTACACTATTTCTGAGCATTAACATCTGCTCCAAGCAGCCGACTTTCACTTACAGAAACTGATTTCAGCTCAGTCAAGCAGATAAACAGAGAAATCAAAGCAGGTGGCTGAAAGTGAAGGAGGAATTCTCAATTCTTGCATTCAACCGATGAACTTCACTAAAGCCATAATTAATATTCAGATAACTATATTCAGACACATAGAATAAACAAGATCATTTAAAGGATGCAGAATACATCCCCAGGGCCAGAGGGGAAGAGAGGGAGGGGGAGAGAGGGAAGAGAAGGCAGAGGACTGAATGAGAATGCAGACACTGCCTGCTCTGGCCTATTGTGTGGATGGTTTCAGTCTCCCAGAAGAGGGAATGCACCTCGCAGAGCAAGGAACCAGGTGTTGACAGAGGCCCTTCCAGAGGCCAGTGGGGCCAGAGCTGTACAGCACTGTCTGAAACACAGGAACTGGAGGTGCTGCATCCCCGAGGTTTGAGCTGTCCACCTTGTGGGCTGCTGCAAAGCTGCCTCTGCATTACCTCCTCTAGTCCTGGGGACCCAGCTGCCACGTGGCCTCGGAGAGGTAGCCTACCTCCCTGCACCCAGGCCTCCTGCATGTGTGGGACCCCACACTGGAAAGCCCTCCTGCCCACGGGGGATCTAGAGTGGTGACTCTAGAATTAAAATGACATCTCTGTGTGATCTGAATCAGGCAGAATCTGACTCTTTATATTACAAGATATGAGAGATTATATACCTTATCGGGTGTATTTATATCTTTTTATTGTTTGACTTAGTCATTTCAGAATTAAAATAAGACTTTTAATGTTAGAACAAATTCTGAAAATTAGTGGCCCCTGGGTCGAAGGGCAGATTTCCACCCAGCTTGCTGTCCTGTGCGACTCGCAAGTCCACATGGTGAGAGCCCAGAGAGGGCACAGGGGCAGTCAGCGTGCCTTTCACTCAATGTTGTTCACACTCCCGTGAGCAGATGAGGGCTACACACAGATAACGTAAACATGTGTATTATTTAAGAGCATATTTATTTGCCATGAGGTCCAAGGGAACGGGAAGTAACCAGACTCCGGGTGTGGGATTTAAACCAGCCCATCAGGAGAGAGGATCACTCAGGTGAGCCCTGCTGTCCCAGAGCTCAGGGCTCGCTGTGCTGAATCCAGAGTGGCTATGCAGAGGGGAGAGCAGCATCCACTCTGGTTAAAAAAAATGGCCCCATCTTTCCTCTCTCTCCTCTTTCTTCTCTCTCTCTCTCTCTTTCTCTCTCTCCCTGTTCCTTTAGTTGCAAGAGCCCTGCAGCTAAACAACAAATGTTATTGATAACTTTAATTTCCAGTTTTGGAAAACATTCCTCTTCCACCCCCCACTCCTCTGCACATATGTCCTGTCTACCTCTCTTCCTCTAGGATGGTGCTGACAATGCTGGGAGCCCAGAGCTGTGTCCTGGGTGCCGTTGATGCTCCTCTGGAACCACTTGCTTTGTGGTTGAAATTTCCCCTGATGCTGAGATTTTTTTCCCCTTTGGTTTCCTTGGAAATGACTCTCTGAATCACAGCTGTTTGCAGCAATAGGGGGAGGTGGGAGGATATTCCCTGGAGGGGTGTTGGAAGGGGTGGGGGTGGCAAACAGGCTTCCCCAGGGAAAGCTGAGCACTGCACGGTAGGCAGACCCAGTGTGGGGTGGGGTGGGTGGTCTCCGGAATCCCTGGGACTGGCCTTAGGCTGGGTTGGAAGCTGGATACCTGGGAACTCTTTCTTCCCTGGAGCCTGGCACTCTCTGGTCTGTGTATTCTTTTGTCTCCCTTCCACCTCCCCACAAGGAGGAGCTGGCTGAGCAGTGCCATCTTCCCCAGTGTGGACTACCTGTCCCCAGCTGCAGGTCTGTGCGGGGAACCTGTGTGGTGTGCATGCCCTTTCTTGGTGTTTCCGTGTAATCTGGGTGTCGTGGCACTCCTGTGCGGCAGGTAAGGCAAGCCTGCGGGGTGCATTTCACACATGCAGAGATGGAGTTTTGGAGGGCTGTGAAATGGTGCTGTGAGTGACTGGAGAAGACAGGATGAAGGTCCTTGCCCTGAACCAGTCCGGCAAGTCCCACTGAAATCTGCTTTTGCTTCTGCCTGCCCCTGGCCGTCAGCATCACCTCTGCTGCAGACGCTCCGGCTTGGGGCTTGCCATGGCTCTCACACACTCTTGCACATCAAGCTCCATTAGTTTGGAGAGAGATACAGCTGACACCCACCTGACTGACTCCAGCTATGTGCTGTGAGGGCAGGGAGGAGGCACTCGCCTGGCCAGGGCGTGCTAGTGACTGACTTCCTGCGGTTCATCCCCAGGAAGCGGAGAACAGCTCTGTCCCACCGAAGGACCAGCTGATGCCACCAGTCACTTGTCCTATCTGCCTTTCCTGTCACCCTTCTGGCCACTTAGCTCTCGCCAGTCTTCATTCTGCTTCTTCACCTCTTTCTCCCTCACATCTCAGTTATCACCACCTTGACCAGCACTGTTACCTGAGTCTCCAAACTGTCACTGCTCAAACCGAACAAATGCTAGTTCTCAGAGTAAGAAGAAGAAAAGGCAAATTCAGACCCACTGCTTTGGGGTTTGGCAAATTTTACCCCACTGGACTAACCTAGCTTTGGCTGCCAAAGGCTGGGGTTCCTCCAAAGGGAATGGTGCCCTCTATTCAGGGAGACAAGTCCTGGAAAAGTCCAGGGTGTCTTTCTGTAGGAGAAGCCAGGTGCATACAGTGAGCGGCCTTGTTAAGGCAGGGAGGGTGGTTCCTGGCCAGGGCCATATCAGAGGACCCGGTTCTTCTGTCATGCACCTGAAAGGGACACAGCATTGCAGGCTTTTGGGGACTGCTTCGGGCTGCCATCTCCAACCGTTTTACCACACACGTGGCCTGACAGAAAGGCTCTGTTTTAGTTCATTGCTCGGTCGCTGTGGTTTGGGGAGAGACCCCAGAGGCGGTGCAGATCAAGGGTTCCTTCTCTTTGCTTCTCTGAGTGGAAATGAAAGAAAAACACACACTGATTTTATGCCACACCAGGTACCAGCTCCTCTTGGGGAAAACTTGTTTCCCCAGTAATGGGGATTGCACCAGGGCCTATATTCTAAGCTGTTTTAAAATCTTTTAAATTTTGAGACAGGGTCTCCCTAAGTTGCTGTTACCCAAACTGGGCAACTTTTGATCCTCCTACGTCAGCCTCCCACAGCGCTGGGATTACAGGGGTGCCCCTTTTTTTCAACCCAAGGCACAACCTTCACGGGTATGTCTGATTCCACAGGTTCTTTGAGATTTCTATTCCACCCAAGCATACACCATGGGCCTCGCCATCTGCATGAAAACTGTCCAATGGCTCCCCCTTGACGTCCCATAGAGGCTCACCCACGCGGGCATGTGAGCGCCTCTGGTTTGTACGGTACCGTTCAGAGGCTGGGCTCTGAATGCCGAACTCCGCGGTCAACCCTGTGGTCCAGGCTGTGCAGTAGTCCTGGTGCCCTCTGCTGGCCACATCTGGAAACACAGGCAGCCTCAAGCCGGGAAATGGGTGGAACCTTCCTTGAGGCCAGACTGGCCTACGGAGGGTGAGATGCGCCCTCACCCTTTTCCGATTCCTTTTGGCATCAGATGGCCGGGCTACTTCTGAGGCCCTGTTCTCTGCAATATACACGTGGGAGATGCATTCCCTTTCTTATCTTTCTACAGTGGAAGGACTTCATGCCATGCTGTAGTCTTTATTAGCTGGGTGGTCTTGGGCAAGCTACCCAACCTCTCTGGACCTCAGTTTGCTCTGTAAGATCTCACTAGTTTTTCAGTTGCATTTCAGGTACCAGGTCCTATTCATAATCTTCCCACCTAGGAGCCTGCACACCTTGGCTGCCAAGGCCTTGGACCCCTTTCCCAGGCTCTCAGCTCCCTGAGGCCCAGGCTCTTTCTTATCTTTTCTCTCTTTGCAACTCCCTGGAGCACCTACCATGGTGCCTGCACACAGACAAACACCTGTTGAACTGACTTGTGTCCCAGTGGCTGCCTTGGACTAGATAGACATCCCTCAGGTGCCTCCCGCCCCACCTGGGTTCTTGGTCCCTCCAGTTGTCCTTTGTGGGTAGGTCTTCCTGTCCAGATGAGACTTTAGATCCTAGAGGGCAGGGTCTGAGGGAATGGCTGTGCTGGGGTTTTGCTGAATGCAGGAAGCAATTTTGACACTGAAACAGCTACGCACATGGCTCTCTGGTGCTTCTGCAGCCTGACAGGAAGACGTAGGCTGTAAACAGCACTCTCAGCCCCGCCCTCCTCTGCCCCCTTCTCCTGTGCCTCTCCTTGCAGGGCTCAGGGCCATGGGTGACCAGGTGGGGGCACCCCCAGCTCCTCCCCCGCCTTGCCTGATGTCCTGGCTGAACAGTGGTGGGCTCAATGTGCAGTAACCCTGGTGTGCATCTCATCAGCGTTCTCCACACACTCTGGTCCATGCACACTCGTCTCCAAGGCAGTCCCAGTGCAGCAAACACAGTGTCTTCTGGAACCGACAGTAAGAGCTAACGTTTATTAATAGCTCAGTGTGCTGCAGGCTCACTGAATGCTTCGCACGTATTACCTCATGTAATGCTCCTAATAACCCACCATGATGGCTCTGTTATTATCTGTGTTTTATAACAAGAAAGCTGAGGCACAGAGAAGTTAAGCCACTTGCCTAAGGTCACACAGATAAAGATGGTAGAGGTCAGCATCTGAACCCAGACAGTTGGATTCCAGAGCCCATGTTCACAATACTCCTTCAGAGAGTGGGTGCCTGGGGTGGAGGAGGAAAGCAAGGCATCTATTAGGCATGCATGCACCAACAACCAAAACACATGCACATACATTGCCCATGCACTGTGCACATGTGAACACTCCAGTGATGCCTCACCCACCACGTGAGACTTGTCATGTGCACACTGGGGTCAATGTGCACATGAACAAGGCTCTCAGTGCCTTCCCCACTTGCCATGTTTGAAAGCAGCATTGACTGAGAACCTGCTGCATGTAGAAACCATGTTACACAGACTTTGTGGATGAACACAGGAGCCTCTGCAGGTGGTCCTCAAAGTGGAATGGATCAATTTAGGATTTTTGGACTTTATGATGAAACCAAGGCCATATGTATTCAGTAGCAGTCATACAACAGATTTTGAATTTTGATCTTTTCTGGGGCTGGTGATGTGATCACTTAGGGAGACTTCCAAACCCTATGGTCTGCTGCGCTGCTAAGCTGTGGTGGGTCTGGGCACCAAATGCGTGCTCCACCGTGGATAGTTTCGAATCACGGAGGGCTTATGGACACAAAGCCCCACCTACGAAAGGGAGCATCCCCGGTTCCTTTTGACCACTGGACATTGGAAATGTTGCTAGTGAGACTGAGGAATCAAATTTTTAATTGCATACCAAATAAAATTAATTGAAATATAAACATAAGGAGCCACACATTGTGCTGACTACCAAATGAGCCATGTCCTGGGACTGTGGAAAGGATGGAGAGAGGTGATAAAGTTACTGGGCAGCACAGGCCTGGAATGTTCAAGTGCTAAACAATAGATGTAGTTTTATTGTTATGTGCAGTGAATGACAGTGCATGTGTTTACCTGCATGGAGCAATGCATATCATCCTTTGTCCTTCCACCCAGCCACCTGTCCTTTATGGGACTTTTTGAAGACCAAGCTCCTGACAGTGGGCTCTGACCCAGAAGTGTCTCTGATGGTGACTTGGAAGGAGCCTTGGGCTCTGGGGTCTCCCAGAGAGCAGCCAGGGGTGGGGCCCCTTGCAAGTCTCACTAGCCTGCACCCAGCAGGGGGTGGAGAGAATGCCTGTGGGTGCCCACAAGCTCCCTCCCTCACCTAGAGCCTCCCAGCTCCCTGGAGGGCTAACTGCATCTCTAATATATAACTAAAACGTCAGCTTCTCTCCTTGTACATTGCTTTTATTATTATTATTTTTTAAGTTTAAAAGAGAGAAAAAAAGGGCCAGCAGCCTGCCTCAGGCATTTGGTGGTGGCTCTGTGGGCCAAATAGAAGTTCCCAAGGGAAGCTCCAGGGGCCAGCTGGGGCAGGAGCAGGGCAGGGGTGTGTGGGTCACGAGGACACAGGGTGTGTGGCAGGGTGGGGTGGCTTTAGCCGCAGCAGCAGCAGGGCTGGGAGGAGGGAGCTTGGCGACCTACATCTCCACTGAGAATTGGCTGACTCACCCCAGACAGCAGCTCTGGCTCTCCCTCCTAGCATCCTGAGAAACAGGAGCTCCAGAGAGGGCAGTGGCAGTGGCCCTTGTAAAAGCCGGAGAGAACGAAGCTCCCGCACGAGGAATGCAGGTGGAAGCAGAAGGGGACAGACCTGGCCTGGATTCTCTGCCCTGGTGCAAGGGGGATTCCTTAAGGACTAACAGAGGGTTGGGTTAGTGGGGTGGGTGCAGGTGAGTGGGGTAGGGTAAAAGACATGGGAGGAGAGGGCTGACAGCATCCATGCGGGTGTGACACAGAACAGTCTTCGATCTAGCGGATGCTCAGTTCACACTGACATAGAACAATAACCACACCCATGAAATCTTATTTAACTTGTTCTAACATAAATGGCTTTAAGTACCCTACACCTGGGTCTCCCAAATGTATGCCTCCTGCCCAGGTCTTCACACTGAGCTCCAAAGCAAACCATCCACTGGTCTTCTGCATGCCTCTCCCTGGACATCCAACAGGCCTCCCCCTCCCCGCACAGCCATGGTGGACTTTTCATCGCTCACTTCTGAAACATGCAAATGCCAGCACTCACTGTTGTGTGGCGAAAGCTGTTTCTTGGCTCCTCTATTTCCCCTTACTCCACACTCCACAAGTACAGGGACTCTGATCTTCCCAGTCATGCCACCCCATGCACTTCTCACGTCTTCACTGTCCACCCTTGTCCACATCCCATCCTCACTGCCCTGGCACCCACTGATTTCCTGGTGTCTGCTCTATGCAGCTGGCTCCAGGCAATAGCTGGAGATATCTTTATGGATGTGCAGAACATGCCTCTTCCATTGTTTCTTGTTGTCAGTAGAATACAGTTTGGCTGCCCCTCCCTGGGCATCTGCCAGGCCTGAGACAACCTGCCCACACTGGCTTCCTTCCCCCATGGTCCCACCATGCTCCTGGCACTCTGGTCCTTCTCCTATTCTTGAGCAAATGGAGCCCCTTAGTGGCTCAGGGCCTTTGCACTGATGTTCCCTCTGCCTGAAGTGCTTTCCCCTCCAGGTAGGCTTGTTTGGATCTTGGGTTCACTGTCAGTTTCTGAGGAGGATCCTCCCTACCCATCCAGTATACAGCAGCCCCATTCACTCCATACCTCAGCCCTTTCAATTCTCAGCATAGCACTTAGGATCAGGTGTTTAATTTTTATTCTTAATTTATTATCTAACTCTTTTCATGGAAATGTAAGCTGAAGGAGAGCCAGGCTTTATCTGTCTTGGTCATTGTGACTCCAGCAGCTAGAACCGTGCCTGGCACAGAGTGGGTGATCAATAACTATTTGTGAATGAATGAATTATTTAATCCTGATGGTGTTTGTCTGAGAAGGCTTTTTGCCTAGGGTAGAAGTGTAAGCTCCTGAATGTGTTTCCTGGACTGGCTCTTGTGTACGAATTGCAAGACTAATTAAACTCATACATATTTGTGGAAATGCAAATATAATTTTATTTACCAACGACTGTAATAAAGGTAAATGCTCCTTACTTAAACAAACAATTCACTTTGGGAATAGAGCTGTAAACGGAAGCAATAAATAAACACTCGTTATTGAGTGCTTACTGTGCATCCCCTGAACTTCACCAGTAGGCCGCTCTGATCCTCCATCCTGGCAGTTTACACCCATGACGCCTGGGGCCGACCTAGGAAGATTCTCTCATCTGCACATGCAGATGCGGGTGCTTAACCACAATAGGCACGAGCCCTCTCAACCACACACAACCACACACAGGACTCTCCAGAGCACGGCTTAGCTCTTGGCTCTATCACTTAGCTGCTAGTGTCCTGGGGAGTTATTTAACCCCCCTGTGTCTCTGTTTCCTTGTCCATAAAATAGGAATTGAGATTTCCTCCTAGGAAAAATGGGAGTATTAAATGAGATAGCATGTTAGAATGCTTGGCATGGAGCCAGTGCATAGTAAATGATAAATACATGTTAACAATTCTTCTCTTATCACTATTATGATTATTAGCATTATGCAAGACTCCTCTAGATGTTTCTACATATTCTCAATTAATTGCCACCATAACTCTTGGAGTAGGGGCTATTCCTGACTTCCAGGTTAGGAGGAGCTCAGAGCTCATGGAATAAAAACTATTGCCCCGGTCATCCTGCAGCTCTCCATATTGAAACCCAAGTCTGTGGACTCCAGAGCCAGTGCTTTTTCAATGCACCACAGCTGTCTCTGGGTTCTGTATTACAGCCTAGTGCTAGTGGGCTAAGTAAGCATCATACCCATCTCACCATTTTAACCCATGGCCCAGCCCTCATCACAAACTCTCCAGTCCCTTCATGGGCTCAGCTTCTCCAGGTATCCTGAGCCCCTAAGTGGTCTCCCAGCCACATCTCAGAACTTTCCCTGCTTGGCCCCATCCTCATTTTCCCTGAGGTCCTCATGGCTGCACAGGCCTGGACTCAAATCCAGCAAAAACTTAACATCAGAGGGCTAGAGACTGAGATGGGAAGTGTTCCTCCAGGTGACCTGCCTCATCCCATTCCCAAGAAACAGTGGAGATCTGGAGAGGGCTCACGATTTGTTCAAGGGCCCCCTCTTCCCATCCCTGACCCGCTTCCTCCCAACCAGTACCTTATTGGCCATCTGCCAATCAGAAGGGGTGCAGGGGAGAGGCATGAGGGCATCTCTGCAGGAATGTGGTGGGCTTAGCTGTGCTTTTCTGTTGCTCTGAGGTTTGCTTTTCTGCTTCCCCTCCTGAGGAGTCTGTGAGCCTTCCAGAACAGGGGTGCTGGCTCATCCATCTACTTCTTACATAGTGCACAGCCCAGCCCTGGGGACATGAATGTGGGTTCTGACAATTACCAAGACAATCCCGCCACTGTCTTTTGGGAAGTGCAAATAGAGGTGCCTTTCTCCTTTTGCTACCTTCCTATCTTGCTTGTTTTTCTCATGCCGTGTACTGTTCACAAAGGAGGAACACATTTGTTATAAACTTTCTATAAAAAGTAGCTAGACTTTGCTGGGGGCTTGAGTGACAATCCCTTCTCCAGTCCCTCCAGATGAGCAAAAGAGTTACTAACAAGTCTGTGCCCTCTGAGACATGTCCAGCTGTAGCTGGAGGGAGGTCAGTTGAGTGCACAGTGCCGTGCATTGCTGTGCCTGGGTGAGGACCCAGTCTGAGGTGAGCTGGCCAGACGTGCAGGCACGGCTGGGTAGTGCAATGGGTCTAAGGCTCCGCGCTGTTAGATTTAAGCTCCAGGACTCTTAAAGGGATGAGAAGTGTTGGGGCTGCAGCACTGAGAGGCTGCCTGGAGGAGAGTCAGGGCTCCATGCAGAGGAGAGGTTTCGGTTTGGGGGAAGCAGAAGAAAACAGGTTGCCCCAGGAAGGGAAGGAGGCTTACCAGAGGGGTACAGAGCTGGAACCAATCTCATGGGAAGAGAAGGGAAGGCGAGGGCAAAGGCAGAGAAGACAGGGTGCCTGGGTTGTGAACTCTTTTGACTTCTTTTTCATTTGCTCCGTATCTACAATTATCACGGGCTCACCGTGTTCCAGGCATGGTGCCAATGCTCTACCTATATTACTGCATTTCATACTCATGATAAATTCTTTTAGCTGCTGTATGTATTCCTACTGGCTACATAGGGAAAGTGAGGCTGGCCCAGCAGGTAATATGATTTGCCCAGTGTCACACTGCTCACCACTGGAGCGGCTGGGGTTGACCATTGCGCTGCCAGCCTCACTGACTTTGTGCTGCCCGAGCTTCTCTCATGAGGGTCTGGGCAGCCCTGGGATCTGCGTGAGGTGCAGAGTGGGGTCAGAGTAGCTTCATCCATGCAGACATGGGACTTGCAAGAATGTATTATCAGGGGCCGGGGATTTAGCTCAGTGGTTCCACCAGCTGCCTCGCAAGCGCAAGGTCCTGAGTTCAATGTCTGGCACCAAAAAAAGAGAATGTATTATCAGAGGGCTTGGTTTTGTGTGTATAAGAGTTATCTGTGTGAGAGTAAGAAAGTAAGCGTGTGGGGCCTGGACCCACTTCTTACAGATGGGGAAGAGAGGTCTCTTATGAGAGTCTGGCAACAGCCCAAGGGATGAGTTTCATGGTATAAGCAGATAGTCGTGAGAATGTGGGAGGGTGTTTCCTGAGGAAGCAGCTTGAGCACTGGTGGCCAGGAAGCAGGGTGCAGAAAGCTAGGGGAGGTGTCCAGGTTAGAGGCAAGAGGGAGCCACAACATTCCCCTGGAGGTAA